CTGGGGGGCTGCGTGGAGGTGGCGTCGGGCACCGAGGCCGTGCTGGACTCTCCCTTTCGCCTCCTGTGCATCGCCTGCAAGCGCCGCAGCGAAACCCCGGCCGAGGCCGAGAGCGAGTGGTTCTTCCGAGCTGAGGGGGAGTCCCAGTTCAGCAAGGTCACTGGGATGGACTGGGACAAACTGGGACAAACTGGGACAAACTGGGACAAACTGGGATGGACTGGGATGGACTGGGACAAACTGGGACAAACTGGGACAAACTGGGATGGACTGGGAGGGGATTAGAGTGGACTGGGAATGGATTGGAATGGACTGGGATGAACTGGGAGGGACCGGGAGGGGATTGGAGTGGACTGGGAGGGACTGGGATTTAGTGGGAGATACTGGGAGGGAGATAAAGGGGAGTTATAAAGGGTTAAATGGGAACTGGGATGGACTGGGATAAACTGGGACAAACTGGGAGGGACTGGGAGGGACTGGGAATGGACTGGGAATGGATTGGAGTGAACTGGGATGGACTGGGATGGACTGGCAGTGAACTGGGATGGACTGGGAATGGACTGGGATCAACTGGGAGTGGATTGGGAGGGACTGGGATGGACTGGGAATGGACTGGGATGGACTGGGAGTGGATTGGAGTGAACTGGGATGGACTGGGATAGACTGGGAGGGACTGGGATGGACTGGGATGGACTGGGAGGGAGACAAAGGGGAGTTATAAAGGGTTAAATGGGAACTGGGATGGACTGGGAGCAACTGGGAGCAACTGGGAGTGACTGGGAATGGATTGGAGTGAACTGGGAGCAACTGGGATGGACTGGGAGGGACCGGGAGGGGATTAGAGTGGACTGGGATGGACTGGGATGGACTGGGATGGACTGGGAGGGAGATAAATGGGAGTTAAGGGGCACTGAAAAGGGTTAAATGGAAACTGGGATGGACTGGGAGCAACTGGGATGGGACTGGGAGTTACTGGGAAGGAGATAAAGGGGAGTTATAAAGGGTTAAATGGGAACTGGCATGGGATTCGGGCAGACTGGGATGGACTGCGAGTGGATTAGAGTGGACTGGGAATGGATTGGAGTGAACTGGGATAGACTGGGAGGGACTGGGATGGACTGGGATGGACTGGGAATGGATTGGAGTGAACTGGGATAGACTGGGAGGGACTGGGAGGGGATTGGGAGAGACTGGGAGGGACTGGGAATGGATTGGAGTGAACTGGGATGGAGTAAAAGATACTGGGATGGACTGGGAATGGACTGGGATGGACTGGGAGGGGCTGGGAATGGACTGGGAATGGACTGGGAATGGACTGGGAATGGATTGCAGGGAGCTGGGAGGGAGTAAAAGATACTGGGATGGACTGGGAATGGACTGGGAGGGGATTGGGATGGACTGGGATGGACTGGGAGGGACTGGGATGGACTGGGAGGGACTGGGAGTGGATTAGAGTGGACTGGGAGTGGACTGGGAATGGATTGGAGTGAACTGGAATGGACTGGGAGGGACTGGGAGGGACTGGGATGGACTGGGAGGGACTGGGATGGACTGGGAGGGGATTGGGAGGGATTAGGACGGGATTAGAGTGGACTGGGAGCAACTGGGATGGGACTGGGAGTGACTGGGAGTGGATTGGGAGGGACTGGGACAAACTGGGATAAACTGGGATGGACTGGGAATGGATTGGAGTGAACTGGGATAAACTGGGAGGGAGTAAATGGGGGTTATGAAGGGTTAAATGGGAACTGGGAGGGACTGGGATGGACCGGGATAAACTGGGATGGACTGGGAGTTACTGGGATTTAATAAGAAAGAGATAAATGGTAGTTATAAAGGGTTAAAGGGGAACTGGGATGGACTGGGAGTAAACTGGGATGGATTGGGAGGGACTGGGAATGGATTAGAGTGAACTGGGATGGACTGGGAGTTACTGGGAAGGAGATAAATGGGAGTAAATGGGAGTTATAAAGGGTTAAATGGGAACTGGGAGGGACTGGGAATGGATTGGAGTGAACTGGGAGGGAGTAAAAGATACTGGGATGGACTGGGAATGGACTGGGAATGGATTAAAGTGAACTGGGACAGACTGGGATGGACTGGGAATGGATTGGGAGGGACTGGGAGGGACTGGGAATGGATTGGGAGGAACTGGGATGGACTGGGAATGGATTGGAGTGAA